GTTGAGTGGGTGTAGGATTGTAGATAAATCTTTTATGAATTTGTTGTAGTAGTTTATTAATCCAAGAAATTTGCGAAGTTCTGTTACGTTTTCTGGTCTTTTGCTGTTTAAGATGGATGAGACTTTTTCCTTTGTTTTGTGAATACCTTGAGCATCAATTATATGTCCCAGATATTGCAGGCTAGTTTGAAAAAACTTACATTTTTCTCTGTTCAATTTTAAGTTTTTACTTTTTAATCTTTCTAGAACAACCTTTAATCTTTTCAAGAGTTCTTCAGATGTCTTACCTTGTATAATAATGTCATCAAAAAAGCATTGCACTCCGCAAATACCTTGTAAAGTTTTGTCCATGAACTGTTGCCAAAGTGAAGGAGCAACTTTGACACCAAACATCAAACGATTAACTTTGTACATACCTTTATGTGTACTCAATGTTTGCATGTGTGCGCTGTCCTCATCCATTTTCATGTGAAGATATGCGTTGGAAATATCTAGCGTGCAAAATACTTTTCCTCCGTTCATTTGAGAGTGGATTTCTTCAATTCGTGGAATAGGGTGGTTCTCATCTTTTATTACTCTGTTCAGTGTTACTTTGTAATCGGCACAAATTCGTACTTGTCCGTTTGGCTTCACCACTGGTACAATGGGAGTTCCCCAGTCAGAATGGTCAATCTTTGTTATAATGTTACAGTCTTCAAGTCTTTTCAATTCATTTTCAACTTTACTTTTAAGGGAAAAGGGTATTTGTCTTGGTTTTACAAATATAGGTGTAGCATCGTCTATAAGTCTATAGTGTCCCATATACTCAGGTATCTCTCCAATTTTACCATCAAAAACTTCCTCAAACTCACTGAGGATGGTGTCAAGACTTTCAGGTTGTATTGCTTTCACATTTTTTATCTCAGCCCAATCTATTGTCACTTCTCTGAGCCATTCTCTTCCAAATATAGCATCTACATTTTGGTCAATAAGGTAGAGTTTTCCAACAAATTTTTGCATCTTGTATGAGCATTGTACAAATGTCATACCCTTGGGTTTGATAGGTTCACCTGTGTATGTTCTAAGTTCGATGTTGGTTTTAAATACTTTTGTACGTACATTCAGTTTTTTAAAATCATCATAGGACATTGTACTAAGGGCTGCGCCTGTATCCAATTCCATTGGTACAGTTTTTCCTTCAACCGATATGTCAAGAATGAATTTACCTTTTTGTCTGTCACTTAGTACATTAATTTCATGTTCATACTCACTGCCTTTCTCTGAGTCATCTTGAGTCTGGTATTGCTCCAAATTTCTGTTAGTCTGGTTCTTTTTCTGTAAGCATACACTTGCTATGTGTCCAATTTTAGTAAATTTTCTGCACTCAGCATCTATAAATTTACATTTGTTAGCTCGATGAGAAGGTGAACCGCATCCGTAACATTTCCCTTTTAGATTGTCAAATTTTGTGTTGGGTCTCGTGCCAGTTTCTTGAAATGTTTGTCGATACAACATTTTCTTTGGCTTGTTCCTATCACTACTATTGGAATCCACCCTGTTCAAATCAACATGTTCCATTGTTTTGCGACATACAGTTTTGCTCTCAGACTTAGCTAGTTCCATTGCCGATGCTTCGTTAACAATGTCTTTGTACGTGCGTTTCTCTCGTCCTTGAAGAAGTTTGGCTCGAATATCTATGTCATTCAAACCACGAATAAACTGAAGTTTAAGAAACATCTCTACAACCGACTTTCCACAATCACAATTAAAGTCACAGTTGCTAGTTAATTTCTTAAGTGCTATTGAGAATTCATTTATGGATTCATGTTCATGTTGAGTACGTGAAATAAACTTGTGTTGTAAAGCCCATTGACTTGGCTGTGGTTCTACAAAATCCTTTAGTATCTGAACCAACTCACTGTAGTCTTTTGTAAGTGGGTTTTCAGGTGCACATAAATCATAAAGTTGTTGGTGTAACTGGGGTGTAAGAGCGTGTAGTAGCATGTAAACTTTAGCATTACCATCTGTACTTAGATTTTTAAGATGTAGGAATATTTCAAGTCTCTTTATGAAATTTGTAACCGTTTCATCTGGGTGAAAAGGTGTAAAATTTATACTACCCGACAATGAGGACCCGGGAATTGAACTATGTGTCGCCTCAGATGGATTGCTAATTGGGTGAAGTGGTGTAGACCTAGTGTTGGAACATTTATTCTTAATTAACTCTTGCAGTTTTGTTGTAAGATTTAAATACTTATCCTCAACATTACATCTACATTCTATTTCATGGTGCAAGTTTTCTTCATCGGTTAATGTATCAATTTGGTCCTGAATACTTTTGTAACGTTCCCACTGGTCAGCAATTGCTTTGAGTTTAACACTCACCTCTGTCACTGTAAGACTACCTTGAGACTGGAATCTTTCTGCCTTCTTCAACTGTCCTTATACTACAGCTCGTGCTTTCTTTAGATTATTTAACTCTTGTCCGTCCATTCTTTGTTTTCCTCGTCGCCAATGTTACATTTTCAAATAATAAATAAATTAGTTCAGTTGAATCAAACTCATACTTTAATGTAAACAGAAAAACTAATACAAACAAAACAAATACAAAATAACAGGTGATCATTAATTCATATACACATATGGTCTTAAGTCAGTACATCAGTTAAACACATCACAGACCTAGTGCAAAACGTGGCAATAACCTAACTTTAGAAAAATGTGAAAAACTCACCCAAAAGGCGCGCAAGGCGTACTAAAATTTAATCCATGGTCGACGTTAATAACACCCTGAATAAAATAGAGGCAAACTGCAATTTAAACATGCCACAAAATAAAGATGTAAAAGGATGAATTATCAACTAGTTGTCGACAGGAGCAATGTCTCGGAGCCTCTGACACTAGGCGGTCCGAGTAAGAAGAACAAGACTCACAGCCTTGTTCGGGGTCGTGGAAGTAACAAACGAAACACTGAACTAGCCTACTATAAAAAAACACTTTGACCATTGATCATGAGTCGTGACATTCGCCCGGTGGAATTAGTCACGGCTCACCAGCCATGAAAACCTTGAAAAGCTTGAATTATGCATGAATTCTTGTGACCATGAAAAAAAGGCATGGATTATGCATGGATTTCTCCAATGGACCATGAATTTTCAAAATCAGGAACGACTATTCAACTAATGCCATTAAATTTTCCAAATAAAAAATATTGCATATTTGAAAACAGTTCATCAAAACGAACACAATTAAAATACTACGTGGAGATGATTATTGGACATGTTCCACGATCAGAAACAATTGCTTAGTTCATTCCAAGTTATCCAAAGATGCTGATGTCAGGTGAGACTTCCTGAGGACTGTATTATGGTTTGAAAAATCATTAACCCCTGCGTATGAAAAAGGGGAATGGGGACTTAAATCACAAAAACAGAAGTTTACATGCACAGAATTGAAACGGGGTGCGCAATAAAACAGTATTTCCGACTCTGGCGCCTGATTTTCTTGGCTTTTTAGTACATTGTGGAATAAGATAAACCAGAATGCACATTTTATGATATTCTTGTAGGGGATAAAACAGGACTTTTTTGGCCGGGTGAGTGGGATCTTTGTTTTATTCCGGTGGAAAGACTGAGTTAGTCCTAGACTTAATATATTTTACAATTATTCTCCAATATCTCATATAGTATAGCTGGATCTGTTTTGTTTGCAACTTTGTTTTGAATGTTTATAAATCACTCTAAAAAGTTCTATATGAAAGGTATGAAAGGTTATTCAAAAGAAACTGCCTCTTTAACGCCAGTTTATGAAATCAGCAAAACTCAATTGTGTTGATATTGTATAAGCGCATCGACAATGAATTTTTTTTAAACTACCAATGAAAACCATGAATTCTGCATGAATTTTATCATCCTATTATGGTGGCAACCCTGCTCAGCCAGTCAAGATGCTTCCAATTGAGCAGTTTAAAACAAGAGTCGGGAATTGGCTAAAGATAAATAGCCTCTACTTTGTCGAAGAATATTAAAAAAAATCCTTGACCCACTTATGAGAGCTCCTTGCGACTTTGGCAACTGAAAGTTTTTATTTCAATTAACTTCAATGTAAATTAGTGTAAATACATGTTTGTGAAAATGTGATTGAAGCTATTATACAGAGAGGGGTTACAATCGAGGATTTGGTAATGGTACATCCGTCTGCCGTCCACAAGAATAGTCAAGAATATTGGCAGTGTCCACATTTTTTTTATTATTGCTAAGGGCGGCCCCATCCGCCCACCTTATGTTTTTTTGTAGGCCTAAGATGGATATATCCGCCAAATAAAATTTTCTTTTCTTTATAACTTTGGTACGAAAATTAGCTCAGCACTGTGGAAAATCTTGTTATGATCGATGAATTATTTAAAGAAAAATAAATACAAAACATAACATAACATCATTAGTTTTTGAATTTTGGCAAAAAGAAATAAGCTCCAGTCCTTTATTTTAGCCCTTGATTAAGCCTGTGTTAACCCCACTTAGTCATAGTCACAGAGCATAGAATAAATATAGAGTCCCCACTCCTATACCTACAGCTATACCAGTAGTGAAGCCGATTTCCGCCATCTTGGTAAGAGAGTCGGACTCGGAACTTTGAAAACACAGCGTCATTAACACTGTATTATTCTATGCTACTTTATGAATTAGATGAAGCTACCGCTCCGAGGATACATATAGAACCAGTCCCCCCTTCGATATTGACCTAGGACTCTGCCTCGCTGGCTTTCAAAGTTCTGAGGTGAGAGTTTTAAAAGTAAATATTGATTGGTGGTTTCCATGGTAACAATATAATGATTTAAATGTAAATGCAGACCGCCATCTTGGTACAAGAAGCCTGCTTCACTCCAGATGGCAAGTGTCGCCTCTATATTTATTCTATGCTGTGTGGTCATAGTAAACTGTAGTTTGTGTTTGTGTCAGTTTTACTTTCTGCTCTTTATTCTACTGAAACCATGATCAATATTTGTGTGCATTCTCTTGTAGGACTGGTTCTGTTCCTGGAGGAGGACCATTTTGTTGCTCAGGATTTTCTACATATCCTGCATTTAATGGAACGCACTGCTCGTGTCAGCTGTCCCTCCTGCAACATACTCTCTCTGGGGACATACCTCAAGACTTACAATTACTTTGGTGACGCCAAGAAAGTAAGTTGCTGTTCATCAGGGGAAATATCAAACCGATCAACACACTAGTCTCTCTAACACCATTGACCTGCCATGCAACTAACATTTCCTACTGATGATGCTCACAAACACACATACTAAATACTTGTCTTAGTTTTAAAAAAATGCCAATATCAACATTTTATTTTAGTACATACTGTTAATCTTTACCTAAAAACCTTCTAATTTTGAAAATGGTGACTGCTAAATAATCCTGGCCCCAGAACCAGCTGGCTGACAAGGTATAGTACTGCAGAGTGGTTTTGGCATTAGGATAGAAATAAATAGGTATGGATTCATGTTCAATACTTATCCTGGGTAAAAAAAAATATTCAAATCTGTCTTTTAAATTTACTGAAGTAACTACTCTAAATAATTTAAGAGAAACCCAGATTAAGGTAATGATTAAAGATTATTTTAAGCTATCCATTTTTACTAAATATTAAAGACTTGCCTGACATGTAATGATTTTACATTAATTTGTAAGGTACTCTACAGAGATTCAGTAATATTTAATTAAATATTTCCCATCACCCAGTGCCCTATTTTTGTAAAATTGATTATATGTTTTCTGGACATTGAAATTCGTTGTACATGCACTGCGTGTAAATAAATTTTTACCTCAAAGTTTAAATTCTTCAAATGCTTCTGCTTCCTTATCATGCAGACAGAGGCCTTAGCATGAGCTTTCAGCTTCAGTTTTTAAAAGATGACCCCCTTCTGTAGGATACATTATTGACAATGTTCTCATTGTAACAGTGTTCAAATCATGAATCTGTTGTTCTAACAATCCTTCCCGCTGCACAACGTGATAAAAATGTATTCCAGGTTAGATAAAAAGAGATAATTAAATTTTTTTTTTACCGATAATATAGTTAGGCCTACTAATCACATGTGAACGGTTTTACTTGATGGTGGGTGGTGGGTATTTTCAGAAGGAAGCTCTCCGAGCCATGAAACGTCATCAGACTGTGACTGCTGCTGCCATCCCCCCTTCCTGGACATTCCAGGTGCTCCCGTCCCTCTATCAGCACTACCAGAAGGTACCCCTGATGGAATTATCAATACCCTCCAGTGTTCTTTGGTCTTCTTTGTTTCCCTTTATATTTTTAAAGGCTTTTCTCCTTACATCTGCTCCTTAATTTGTTTTAACTTAATCCTGGAGTTCCTGTAGTGCAAGTTTGGTTTGCATATTGCATGGTTATTTTGTCCGTGTTTTATTACATTTTTGGGGTTGCATGTGATGATTTTATAAAATACTTAATTTTAAATTATAGTTGTTGTAGGTAACATATTATAAATAGTTGATTTCATAGAGTAAATGCAGACATTTTGTATATCAATGAGAAATTATAGCTTGTACATCAATACTGCCAGTCTGAAAAAATTTAGATTTGCCAGGTTTAATCTTCCTCCAAAAGTAATTGGTGCTAACTTTAAACAATTTTTAAAATCTGAATTACATTTCTGGGTGTCTAAAAATAATAGGGCAAAACTTACCAGTTGTATTTTCTGTTTCTCTTGATTGTTTCCATTGATGCATTAACAGCTGTGATAAGTGTCTAATACTTACTTGTAATACTTGTCGTCTTCGTCAATGACCAATGAAAATTGGATAGACTGCGTCAGAAGTGTGTTGAGGCTATTTACTGCCCAAATAGAGGTCCATCTTGTAACTTTCGAAGAGAGTAGAGCGGCCTTTTCACTAAGTAATCCTTAAGTCGTTTCTTAAAAGCCTTCGGGTTCAGGTCCTTCACCTAATCCGGTAGAGCATTAAACATTTTCAGGGCTGACTGAGGATAGGCTCGCTGTATCATACTGTGACTTGGTCCTTGGGCTAAGACAAACATAAAATGCCATATAAGTATGGGACTGAGTGTACACTTTAAAAGTGAGTGTAAAAAGTTAGAGGAACTGACTACATTGAATAAATAATTTTTAGGCAACAATAAAATCAGCTGATTAGTTAGTAAATAAGTCGACTTTCACCACAGCTGACATAAAAAATGTGTGAATTGTAAAGACAGTACAAAGCAATTTTTAAGCCATCCTAATGATAGATAATTAGTATAAAAGATACTTTTAGGGTTATGTAATATTTTATTACTGTTTGAATAATCTAGAATCGCTTAAAAATAATGCAAAGCAGACGGAGACTGTTGAACTGTTGACTGTTGAATTGTTGTGGCAGATTACAGCCACATACCTCGGCATGCACTGCAACTAACCTCTAGTGGTCACGTACCACAAAAGCTGCCATATATCACTTAATATTCGTCCGATTTAAAAAGTAAGGTGTCAATCGATTTGTAGTTAAATTGCCTTTAAAAAGTTATTCTTATTAGACTTTTGTAAAATCAACGGGTTTTCAGTTACCTATTTAACCCTCCAAGTGTCCATAGTTTAGGCCTTAATGTCCACCTATTTTTGGCGCATTTGCAAGGTTTTATTAAAACGGATCTGAGAAGCTTAAAACAATGTTAATTCTAATGTTCTATATACCATTTTGTTTGGAAAATCATGGGCTTCAATATTATATATAAAACATAAGGAACATTTTTTCAAAAAAAAAATTTTTTAGGTAAAAAAAATATAATTTCGAAAATTTTCAAAAAAAAAATAAGTTCGCGCCTAATGAAATTGTATAAATTATAGGCCTATAAATATTTGAAAATAGCCACTTTGTTCTAAATTTTATGAGGATTACAAATATATAATAATATAAGGAAGTATATTTGCAAATAAATAAGTTATGGGCAAAAAACTGATTTCAGTACATAGCGTTTAGCTAAGAATGCATAGCCTAACCATAGCTAGGAATCTGGCTGATAATTTACATCAATATCACTACCTACTTCTTCAGGATCATCAACCAGCACTTCAAAACCACTTAAATCTTCTTATAATGCACCACGTATATCACTACTTTTGATTTTTAACACTAAAACAATGATAAACGTAATAAAACACATCAGTCATCGGTCCGGGGGAACCTAGCTGTTTACAAATACACGCACGTCAGCTGTCTGCTACAATATTTTCAGAACTAAAATGAATAGCGCTTAGAGACAGACATCTGGAGACAGCTTAGAATGTAACGGAAAGAACGATACCTAACTCGATCCAGTTCAATCCGATTCAGTCAGTTATAGAGCCTTCGCCGTAAACGATGTCTGCTTGTCGAAAAATCGGCAAGTAACACTATACAAAGTGTGGTGCTTGCCGAATTTTCGTCAAGTAACACTGGGAGGGTTAAGAAACACTATTTAAAATGGCCGCCATTTTACTTTTTGAATTTTAAAAATCAAATTGTCATTTTTTTTGCAGCTTTGTCTAGTTGTCATAAATGTTTGTGCTAAATTTCAATTTTGTATGTTTAACCATTTTTATTTAAAAAATTTATAAAGGAAATACAAAATGGCGGCTGTTTGAGTAACTAAGCACTCCCGGATAGTTTAAATATGATATTTGGATATGTTTCTTACGCAGGAATAATAACCGACACAAATTCTGAAACACCCTGTATATATGTGTGTCCGTGAACGATAACTTGAGTCATTTTAGTTTGTTTTTTATGAAATTTTGTTTGAAGATGAGCAATGTGTGCTTGTATGTGTATGCTATGCTTGCACAAAGATCTCGAAAACGGCTTAAACGATTTCCTTCAAATGTTGTAAATAATTAATTTATTGCCTAAAAAGTGTTTAATGCAGTTGAAACTGCCAACAAAATCTAATTACGTAAACAAATGAAATTGAAAGTCAAAACTTTTTAACATTGGGCTTATGGGTTGCTAAGTAACCATGTTAGTTGAACAAAATAACAAGGAAAAAGTAAACAAAAGACTTGTAAGTTGTACCATGTTTTCATAATAAGCTATCTACCCACAGTATACTAGCAAATTACAAAACACAATACAAAAGGAAAAACATCAGTTGTTACTATTGAACAAAGGTTACACTGAATATAACTCAATATAGGGAAAAATAGTTCCAAGTTCCGATCAAATACTAATTATTTAACTTGGATCTCTCCTACTAAAACTTAATCCCCAAAGTAATCAGCTGTTTTAATTAAAACAAAATGTCAAAACAATGTTTATGCAAGTATAGGCTATTATCACTTTAACCGAAACATGGGTGACACTTACGTAAATAAAAACATCCGGTCTCAGAGACCGGACGATTTTTCATCAACAAATTTCATGTAAAATCTTGGATTTAGTATTTTTTTTAAGTATATGCGGGATTAAGGAAAGTAAAACATACATTTTAGTACAAATATATGTATTATAAAAGTAATATTAATTTACAAAAAGTGTAATAAAATGTATAATAAACATAAAACATACAATATACTGGAGACATAAAATAAAAAATAAAAATCTTGTCTGAACTTGTCTTTTACATACAGTCACAGTCTATGCACACTTTACGGGTTTTTTTTTTTTTTTTTAAGAAGAAGCCTTTGCATAAACAACTAACTGCTTACAAAGACCAGCAGCGCGATTTACGATACTCGAAAGATCCGGCACTAGAGACCGGCACGTTTTTAAAATGGAGACGTTCACTCAATGACCGCTGATTGGGGACTGGCGCTGATGGGTGGGGTAGGGAGAAGAGTAGGAGGGGCAAAGGTACTGAGGGGTAGGGGTACGCACGTCCAGCAGTTTTGCCACTACAGAAAAATCACATTTCCCTCCGGTCTCACAGACCGGTGTTTCGGTTAAAGTGTTATAAACGAGCGACCTTTCATCGACTGTAAAATAAATTAATGTCTTGAGGATTGCCAGGTTAAAATTTCAATCATAATAAATTATTGAAATCCACTGAAACTTAAATAATAAAAGCCAAAATTAGTTGTAAATAAAACTTGAGTTTCCTTTATATTGCTTTTACAATATTAGATAGATATAGATTTAGATATACGATATAGATTCTAACCGTCCCTAATTTGTATGTTCTTAAATGTTTACTAGTGGCTTGAAGGGACATGAGTCCCTGAAAAGCTTAAGTAAAACAAACTATTGTAATACAGTATAAACAAACTTAAACAAATCTAATACATATATCAGATATATATCCCAGTACAACATATCTTTTGTGTAAAAAATATTTTGTTGTTTGTCTTTGCTTGCTTTTGTTGATGTTATTTTTAATAAATAATTTAAATTACTCCAAAGGTTTAACTCTGCTAAAGGCAGGAAACATGTTTGTGAATAAATATTAGTTTACTAAGGTAGCTTTGGTCTTTTGATAATAAAAAGGCTTTCCTGATTAAAATATTGGAAATTGTCTTCGTCATATATGAAAAAGCAAATAAAGGTGTGTTGAGATAAGCTTAGTTCTTAGTTAAAACCGCTAAATTAGCACCCCGACCCAGTTATTATTTCTAAGTGCATGCTCCTTTTGTAAACACTACAATAAATCTCAAATTAAAAATGTTAGTAAGTATACAAAATGTAGAATAAATCTTTAACAAATGTTTTGAAATCAAAACAAAGCAGAAGTTTTCAACAATCTTGAATCGATTATTATTTAGTCAATGTAGTTATTTCATGTTGAACATTCCTTCAACACAACAATAACCGTTAAGTTAGAAGAAAAAAAAACTTCATAATTTTTTCAGCCATTCTAAGTTTAATTCCTTTGATTTAAGCCATCTCCTGATTCTACTACTTATCATACGCTTAACTAATTTACTTAAAAATACACAAGTTTGCCAATTGCACAGTAAAATAATTGATTTCAACATTCTAAGACGTAACTAAAAAGTATTTATTATTATAGGTAGGCCTAAAGTTATCCCTGGTTTTATATAGTATACAGTACATTGCAGAATTGACTGGCAAATGAGTAATCCAAATGTAATATTGCTTACTGGTTTGATGATTAATCACGATCAGCTGTATTGAAGTAAACAAAAATCAGCAGTAAATGGCTTCTAATGCATTTCTTATGGAGAACATTTTACGTTATATCCAATTTTGTGTTAAAATGTAGGGAATTTCACTATTTTTCCAGCCGTTACAGGATCGAGACCTTTAATTTGAGCCCTCCCCCGTCGTTCTACGACTTCCCAGTCGCCCACAATTTTGACGTAAAGAATCGGCTTACGTAATTAATATATAGATAGATTGCATGTGAAATCAAATTTTGAATAACTCCACAGTGAAAATAATTGGCACAATTATAACACTAGATTTCATACAGATTTTCAATATCCTATACACAGATTAAATCTTGTGGAAAGGACACCTTCTTATATGAGTAAAAGATTTTTTAACAATTTGCCTGGGTACTACAAATCAATAATAGGATTAGTATCTTTTAAAGAAAAAATTGTTCAATTTTTGTTGGAAAAGAATTATTATAGTATAGATCAGTTTCTCGAAGACAAATCAATGTGAATTGTTTGTTTTGTTACTATGTATTTATTTTTACCAATAAACTAGTTTATTTTAGTATAGTTTGACAATGTCACCTGTTTTGTCTGGCTGTGCCAGAGCATTTAAAAAAACGTTATGTGACAATAAAGATGGCTTTGACAATCAAAATAAACTACACCGAGCCATGGCTCAGTTCCCAGGAACTAAACTTGAATGAGTTCGCGAACCAGCTAGATCGGACCATGGGAACGGGGTTTTACAGGGGATTTTATGGGGTAAAAATTGGTTTTACTCATTTTTGACCTTCAAAACAAAAAATTGTTCCCATTTCTTTTTTAAACCTCTTAAAAGAGCTTAAAAAACAAATAATTTAATATAGTATATCAAAGTATTTTTGTACGGTTATTGGTACAAAGAAAATTCAAGATTGTAAATTTAAAATTCACATGTTATTCTATTGGAGAACGTTGTATAATGTTGTAATTGGCTTGTTTATAGATAGATTTTGATCAAACTTGGCAAATTTATTTATTTTACACTATGCCATTAATATTTTAGTCAAAAACACATTATTAGCCTCCCTGTAGAGCAATCCTAGGTAATCTGATGTTATTTAAATAGATTTAATAAAAATCAATTCAGGCAAATGGAAATTCGCTTAGTCTGCAGATTTGCTGTGGCGGGGGTATTTTTCTTTGTATTAGCTATTTGAGTCTGCTTAAACAAGTCTTTGTCACAGGTAATCAAGTAGCCAAGAAGTAAGCCTAAGACAAAACATGACCAAGTCAAACCAACTTTTATTGTTGGAAGATAAACTATAGTTCGGCCGCTTAGAAAGCGACCTGCGCGCTAATGCTAAACCAATGCTAGAGGAGGTCGCTTTCTAAGCAGCCGCTATACAACTGCACTATACACCTATAGTTCGGCCACTTAAGCTTGCAATATTGAGGGGAGCATCCAATACTTGTCCAATGTCAATGCTACATCTGGTTAACAAAAATGGGATGTCTACTTGCAGTATCCAAAGTCAATGGTTCATCTGGTTTTCATAATTAAATGTGTACTTGCAGTATCCAATGTCCAATGCAATGGTGCATTAGCATAATTCCAGCGACGCTAATTGGTTATTCATTTTGTACTAAATTATGCTCAACAAAATCCAATTCTATTTTCCTTTTCTCCTGCATTTTTAATGTGCTAGTTTAGATTATTCGTTGACTAACATATGATACAACTCTTTTGTTTACATTTTTATTGTTATCTTGCAAATAATGTCATGGTTGTTACCAATAATCCCATGTTGAATTAAAAAAAAATTAAATTAATTTAGAGAAAAGCCCTTTAGTCCGATTTGTAACATTTCAGATTTATACCTTCCCATAGTTGATTACTATGACTGTGCTAAATTTTGTGCGGATCGCTTCAGCCGTTCAGGAGGAGGATGTGGTAAACAATAGCAGCAGTGTAGTATAAGAACTTCGCTCGCACCACTCAAAAAACTAATGTTTTTACTAAAAGGTTAACAATGGCAGTGTATTTTCATCACTTACAGTTGAAATATTCATGAAATAAGCATTACAGTAGACGCTTGCTAGTCCGGCACGCTTGGAACTTTGCAGTGCTGGATATCTGAAAATGCCGGACCTTTGAATGCCAGATTAGCTTTACTCATTCTGAAAATTGGTAGCGTACATCTGCTTTTGTTACAGAAAGCATAGTGTTTTACAGTTAAAATGTCAAAATTTTCGAGTTGTATGGAAATGATGACCTTTGGTTGCTTTGGAAAGTCAATGAAAGAAAATATTGATTGTTATGTTGCAATCAATTTCTACAATTTTGCACACTATCTCCCCCCAATCGTGTATCCTACAGTGGGGGCAAAATTGTAAACATCTCCCATGGCCACAGCAAATTGTGAAGGTTTTTCACGGTTGCAGCGTATTTGTGTACTTCTCCTGCGAACTCAGGGCAAAATCAGGATTGTCTTCTATGGTTTTGGGGAAATCTGAACAGTTCCTGTTGTAGCGGGTACATCACCATCCTCTTCTGCGATTGCAGCATAAGTGTGAATATCTCCTGCAACCACAGCAAAATTGTGAATTTCTATTGGGCATCTTTGCAAATTCTTCAATTATGTAATAATAAAAGCTCAGCACAAAACTGAAGCAGCTTGAACATTTCTAATATAAGTGACCCAAACCAGGCTTGAACCTAAATTATTTCTGGTCCGAACAAACCAGCCCACATAAAAATATCACGGACCTGCAGACGCCTAGTTATTCAGTGAGGAATTGACTAATAGCATCAACTCTTTGACCCAGGCGGAGGTGACGCCTTGGGTGAGCAGCAAGCACAACATGGGGTTTGCTCTGAACCGCAGTGTGTGGCTAGAGCTGTGGAGTTGTGCCAAGTACTTCTGTACTTATGATGACTTAACTGGGACTGGAGTATTCAACATGTTTCCCAGACCTGCCTAGATGTTTGTCTCTAGTTGTGATGTGTTTGACCCAGGCGGAGGTGACGCCTTGGGTGAGCAGCAAGCACAACATGGGGTTTGCTCTGAACCGCAGTGTGTGGCTAGAGCTGTGGAGTTGTGCCAAGTACTTCTGTACTTATGATGACTTCAACTGGGACTGGAGTATTCAACATGTTTCCCAGACCTGCCTAGATGTTTGTCTCTAGTTGTGATGTGTTTGACCCAGGCGGAGGTGACGCCTTGGGTGAGCAGCAAGCACAACATGGGGTTTGCTCTGAACCGCAGTGTGTGGCTAGAGCTGTGGAGTTGTGCCAAGTACTTCTGTACTTATGATGACTACAACTGGGACTGGAGTCTACAACATGTTTCCCAGACCTGCCTGTCCCACAAGCTACAGGCCATGGTCATGCGAGGTCCGAGGGTCTTCCACATAGGAGAATGGTACTTTACATTAGTTCAATTTATATGTAAATTTTTTTTTTCGAGGTACATTTATTCTACCTTTGAACCTTCCTTCAAGTGCAAAGTGGAGGGCACTGCTAGTTAAAGCCATAATTTTTCATAGAACCGTAAGAATAGTCTTACCAAGAGAAAACACTTTAAATTGTGCAGTTAACTATTTAGTCTGATTGTATATTTGATCAAGTAGAATATTAAATCAAATTAAATGCTATTTAGGTTAATTCAATTTGTAGAAATTGTGTCTTGCCGATTTAAGTTAATTACACTCCTAGACAGTGTATTTTGTTTATTTTAGTACCTTGACAGAGTGAGATGTTAGTAATTGCAGTACTAATTCAACTTATTCTCTTAATAATGATAATAAAAAAATAATATTTCAAAATAATTATCTCTTATTGAATAACTACCCTTAATCCCCCTGTTTCCAAAAATACATATAGCACTGCATCAACAATTTTCCTTCATTTGAGTTATCAGTTTCTGTCAACCACTTTGACGTGAAATATAATCCGATATTCAAGGGTCTTCCATTTTACAATATGTTTTGTTTTCCCTACAGTGGTGTTCATCACAAGAAGACCAACTGTGAGAGCACAGGTGTAATATCTAAGGTGCAGAAGGTGCTTGCCAATGCTGCCCGTCATCTTTACCCAACACATCTCACTTTGACATTCACCAGTGGCACCAAGAAACACAAGCTACGCAAGGGTAACGGAGGCTGGGGTGATGTCAGGGACCATCAACTCTGTATTAACATGACCCTCACTCCACCAGCCAGATAGAGGACAGTTAGTTACCAGTTCAGTGATTTTATGTTGTAAACATTGTCATTGTTTTAAATTTTAACTTTTAATCTTGTGTCAAATAATAATTTGACCCTAAAACTACATTTTTACTGGAATAACTTAGAGACATCTTGAACAAGTTGATGAAACAACAACGAACTCGTGCTAGCTTTAGACTTGCTCATGCATGTCCTGATAAACGTGTTAATTGGATGTAGAAAACCCAAGTAGTCAATGTTGCAGTGGAGAATGAAAGAACTGGCATAATGTTTTTATATTCTTAGCTATGTACAACATTTTCTTTAGACTCGGTTGGAATTTGTTTTGCATCCTTAAATTTGTTTAGATATTTATTTAGTAGATTGAGTTATTTTTGAACAACATTATGTTTTTAACTTTTTGCTCTAAAATAAACTTAATAGTATTTATTTAGTCGTTGCTTGTTATTTTTTTAAAGGTATTTTTCTAGTTTCCTATAATTTGGCAAAAATATTTTTTGTCGTAAACCTTGAGATAAGTATTAATTATTAAAAACTATATTTTTCATGAGTTAACACTCTATACAAGTAAACAATGTCACTTAATACAGTAGAACCCCGGTTAACTGAAATAAAGGGGAGAGAGCCGTTTCGGATAACCAATATTTTGGTTAACACGTCATATGCCAAAAATAGCCTATGTATTACCACAGTGTGTAGGAAAAATTAATTTAATCAATATCTATAATAATACAGTGTTTTATTTCAGCTGCAAAAATGTTATAATGGGTTAAACATATTTTCAACTAAACCACTGAAGTTACTAAAGCATATTTTATCCCTGTATTATTTTGTGGAACCATTTTGGTTAACCTGGGTTTCGGTTGATCCGAATTCGGTTAACTGGGGTTCTACCGTACATAGTTTGTAAAATTTCAATTTTGTTATAATGAGACTTAGATTTTTCCTAAGTTTCAGTTATAAAAAAAATTATAACAAAAATATAAAATTTGTATTCCCTATAACCATTGAATAAGTTATTCCTTACTGATATTTACTATTTTACTAAGCCTAGGGAAATGTGTTCTCATTTTAAGTCTGACACTTGACTCATGTCTTGTGAACCTAATTACATTTTATATTTGTGCATTTTGTTACAATTTTATTCATGTTTTTATCAAGATTAAATTTTATAGGTTTAATAAAATTATTCCTAGAAGTTTATTTTACAGTTAATGGCTTATACAAACTAGTTAGCTAGTCGCTTAAAAGTTATTCTTGAGCCGATTATTACAATTAGTTTAACATGTCTATTTATGTCTCAGAGACTTGAGAAATACTGTGCTATGTGGATGTAGGGGGATTTATAGATTTTTATACAACTTTTGTTAGTACTATACCAGAAGTGTGGTGTTGTTCTGATCTAGTCAAATCAAGTCCTCGTGTTACCAGCTCACGGAAGCTGTGTCTTCCAAGGTGCTTAAATCAATTCTACTTCAGATTTGTTAGTTTTGGTAACTAACCTATAACTCAGATAAACTATATTTTTTGCTACAGATATAGTTATATGTAGGATTTATGCTGATGATGCTCACTTTGTGATTTAATATTATTTTAGAAGATTTATTAAGCATGAAATGCTCATCATTTAGTTAAATCTTTAAATTTAGCTTGTGATATTGACTGAACCATAATGTAAAAGAACTTTTAATTATCCCAGTAACCTATACTGGGTGTCCACAAAGTCTTGGCCTGATTTGATAGCTTTGCTGTACGAAAACCATTTGAGCCACACTTAACTTATATGCCTTGTTTTGAAGGGAATTTAATCAAGTTGTGTTTATTGAAATTGATAACACCTAAACACAGCTGATTGACAACAATACAGTTATGATTCAATACAATAACAAATCAGAAATGGTGAGTTTACAAGAGTAATAATCACAGTGTGTTTTGTTGTTTTACGAAAACCAATCCCCTATAGCAGTTTGACGACCTTCCATTTAAGTGTGAAGATTAACAGACACAATAATTGTAGAATTTGGGAGACTGACAATCCCAGGATCGTGGTTGAAAATGAAAGGGACAGTCCAAAACTAAATCTTTGGTTCGGTGTAATGCATGATGGAATCATTGGACCATTTATCTTTGCGGAAGAAAATTTGAATAGGTTTGTTTACTTGGATATGTTGGAGTTGTACTTAGTCCCCCAATTAGAAGAACTGCAACTTTTGATAATTTTCCAGCAAGACGGTGCTCCGCCTCATTGGGCTAAATATGTGATGGATTTTTTTTAATTTCCACTTCCCCGGACGCTGGATTGGGCGTGATGGCCCGACGAAATGGCCACCTCGTTCCCCCGATGTAACCCTCGAGGATTTCTTTTTGTGGGGATTTGTCAAGGACACTGTCTATTCTTCCTAGTTTCCTAATTTACACACACTGCGGGAGAGATTCAGAAATTCTGTGATGTCTGTATCCCAGGATATGCTGACTAAAACCTGGGACAAACTGAAAAGACGGATATAAGATCTGCAGGCCACTGGAGGCCTACAAGTATACTTAATTGTGTTACGTTTGTACATAGTTATAAAATCTTAAGAAGTTGCCTGTTGTATCTGTAAATGAATCTTTATCCTACTCTCACTGGTTTTCATACTATGCGGTTTCCTTATCAGACCAAGACTTTGTAGACACCCTGTATTATATTAAATGTCCAGTGATCCACAAGCTACCATTTACCAATGTAGATTTAGTTACTGTTTGTTGATTTATAAGAATCAGATAATCTACCAATACTACATTAAAAACTGTCTAATTTGAAAAAAATCTCATCTTTGCATTCCTCTACAATTTGTGGGTCCTGGACATTTCCTTTGAAATTTTTACATATTTATGTTAGTACTATGTGATGTTTTACCTACCAGAAAGTAGTTGGAAAGTAATGATTGTTCTATTAGTCTAGTCTGCATTTACTTATTAGTTTTTTCTTATTTCATAAGTCGTCAGAAAGTGCATCTGTATAGTGTAAACTATGTGTGTACTTGTGTGAACGGGAATGTAAATATATATGTAGGTTTGTATAAAAGTATGTGCATTTTTAGTTAGGTACCTATACTTTCCTGATTTTAAACCCAATCGTTTTATAACTTTTGTTTAATGTGGGAGGTAATACAAATTATGAGAAAAATTTTTGCACATACCTTTCAGTAAGAAAATCCAACACTGGAGGGTAAACAGGGGGATTGAAATAGTAAAAATAGTTGAAATAGTTGGATTAAAATAGTAGGTGATAAAGTACAATTAGTAATTGTACTTCGCAAAGTTGCTACTTAGCAAAGTACTCGACGGATTTTCATTATTTGTGTGTTGAAAGAAAGATAATTTTGAGAACTAGGGAATGTCGAAGCCATAATTTTAGTTTAGGGTCCCAGTTTTTTTTAAATTAAGTTTTAATTTTTAAAAAGTCTTCTAGCAGCCGACGCTAAGATTTTAAACTAGCTTTTGGCATAAAATAATTTGCTTAACATAACATCTGTAAACATTCAGCTTTTGTGTCACAAATTCAGCATTTGGATAAAAATGTAAAGACATACATAGGGTTGACTTATTTATACTATGTGTAATGCTAATCATTGATACGTTCAATTCTTCTGTAAGAGGATGACAGATATGATTTAGATGGATGAGATTTAGTGAGTCGGTGGCTCATTCGGTAGCGTCGCGGACTTCGGGCCCAAGGCAGTAGTGTCGTGGGTTCGAATCCTGGTCACTGCCGATAACATTTTATCAGTACAGTTCACCTTTGTACTGTACCGGCTCACTGCTTGCTTTGCTGTAAACGATCCACGCACGGGCGCTTAGTCTATGTGGACGGGCAAATGCAAGGTTAAAAGAGGCCGCCAACCTTTAAAAAAAAAAAAAGATTTATTAATTATACATAGTAAAGTACTTGGATGTTCAAATAATTTTTTTAAACAATCTTTGTAATCTTCGATTTGTTTTAGAGCAATATAATTTGTTTTAACTAACAGCTGGTTAAATATAAACTATGGAACTATGAGGTTATTTTATTTACTCTTATTTTGTCATTGATTATAGGAAATAAGTAAGATTCGTAGAGATAATTAGACCACAGTGTAAACCACAGTTTTAACCAAAATTAATTAAAACACAGTACAAATCGAGACTCTGTACACGAGTCTGAATAAAAAAGGATAAATACAAATTATTTTACTGCTACACTTTTCAAGGAAAGATTAAAAAAATAACAATGTTTACATGTTTTAATTCTTCATGGTCGCTTTTTGTTTACAATTAATGTTTGTCTGCTTTAACTTGGATTAGGCCCGGAAATACGGTATTGATGTCATAAAAAGAAGATCAAGAATAATCAGGAATTACGATTTTAAATTACCACCACAACCTCAGCCGGGTTTTATACAAAGATAAACAGATGGATGACATAGATTGAACACAACGTCAACATTGACCTAGGATACTGCAATTAGACGGGTACGCGTCTAATTGGCACCACGTCAGATTGGCATAGCTCCTAGAGGTGCCAATCAGTCGTAACAGTACACGACAGATTGGAACCTCGAGAAATGAGTGGTGCCAATCTGTCGTGGTGACAAGCTGACTGCGGCCTCAGAGGTGCCAATCAGTCGTAACAGTATACGACAGATTGGCACCCCTGCCCTCAATAGACCCACCTTTTCGTTTTACTTACTAGTCTGATGTTTGAAAACAGAAACGTGTCAAGATGCATGTCAATTAATGCATACACATTGATAATAACATTAACTTTAACAGCACAAACCGCTTCGTAAATGGTCCATCTAATCAAAGTTACAGTTCCTCAAGTCTTTTAATATTATGCCATTAAGCTCAAGTTTATAATTTGGAAAACGTCTGATACCTACTAAAGTATTTGGCACAATTGAATGAAACCTTTTGCAGTCATGTTTCGGAAGGGGGGGAGTGCGTTAACCTGGTTAAAAAAGGTTTTTTCATTCAGAAGTTACAGCTTGTCAAAGATATGACAATTTATCATTCAGTTAACTAATATTATTTCAATGAAATGGTATTTTTTATGCATTATGGAAAATTATGATATATTTGAGATGCTGTAATTTATGACTTAATTTACCTTTTTGTAACCAAGATGCGGTTGAACGCAAGTGGGCTTGCCCTATAAAATAATTACCGGTACTTCCTTCTTGGACCAAAACTCTAAAATCAGGTAATGTAAAACTCGAGGTATGGTTACACTGAAAAAGCAAATCTTCTGAAATGGGGTTATATAGGCGTGAAATTTACGTGGATTAAAATATATAAAGCTATGGAAATTGAAAGTGGTCGCTAGGATGGAGTTTCTGCCTCATATCAGGACTTTGAGAGAAAATACTTTTAAACACTTTCTTAGTACGCATCTAGATATAGGCTACATGCCATGATGTCGTGTTAGTTAAGCAGTTTGTAACTCGAGACCGGCTGGATCTTTTTAATGATTTATGATTTATTGGATTCGTCTTTAACCCGATTAACTCATTCATCTTCAGTTCAGTATTTAAATTTAGGGCTAAGCCCCACATATGTATGTTTTGCGTATGAAGAAAAATATGATGGATTTTGACCATATGCATACATTAATTTAAACATTTTCGAAACAGCTGATTATACATTTGACAGGTAATGTAATTGAAAGTCATTTTCAGCTGTTTTATGTTGTCTGTGATTGTTTTGAAAAGGCTTATAAAGGTTTCCGGTTGATTTGGTTTTTTTTTACTTTTATGGGGTACAAAGTTCGCCGGGTCATCTAGTTTGTAATGTACAGTTCGCTCAATGTTTCTGTAAACATAAGAAACAATAAAATACGTTTTATATTCATTGTTTTTTGTGTTAACATTAACAATTTGCATGTGTTTTCCTAGTAGGCCTACGCTTTATTTAAGGGATCTTGATCAACAGTAATAACAAAAACTAGTCGAAATCAAAATACTACTGAGCAAGGCTTGGTCCTAACAGTACTTTACAAATATTAGGATTGAGAAACAGATGGCGTGGTGTAGTTAACTGAACTGTCATTAATAACAAACGACCCCTAGATGCGCAGCGGTTTAGATGCGCTGCAGCTTTTGTCCAGGTCCCAAAACGCAGCTGCCGTGAGTGGTTTCCTAGACTGTGTCTAATACACATGGTTGGTGCGTAACATAAGTTCACGGGAGAAATTACTAGTGGCTACTATGATGTTATACGATGATTTAGATAATGAAATGTATGCTTTGGTATTAAAAGTTTTGAAGAAGTGTAAGCGGTGAAAAGTACATGATTAGGAACTGTACGTGGCCCTCCCAGAAGTTTTAACCGTAGTATGTATTGAAGCAAACATGTCAATTTACAGTAAAATGTAAACAATAAATTTTAATTAACCTCTCCAACTTTGATTTTACTGTTATTATATTTAGGCCTACCTATTCGGAATTTACCGAATTGACGAAATATTATATAATTTACGAGTATAACGGCAATAAGAATTTCATACTTATACGCCAACCCCGTAAGAAGGACGGGTACTCTGCTATTAATTAATATAGGATTACTAGCAGAATACCTGTCCTTCGTACGGGGTTGGCATGTAAGTATAAAATGCTTATTGCAGTAATGGGAGAGGAGACGGTTTAAGAATTTTTTTTTATTTATACGGTATCCTGTAGTGTAGCACACATCTACCATAGCCCTAATGCTCTACCACTGCACCTAAACCATTGAAAAAGTAAAGTTTTCATTGTGTACCACAACTTTTTGTTGCTACAGTAGTTGGTTTAGATTCGGTGTTGTCATAAATGCAAAAAACATAATAGTGATATGGTAAGCCTAATATCGTTTTAATGCTATGTAATATCATAGAACCAACTTGTGCAGTTGAAACGGCTGACAAAATTCTTTAATTCCTTTAAATATGAATACTCATAAGTTTAACATTGGAAACTCGAGAGCCACTGGGGCGGAGCCCGAAAGGGGTTTTTTAGGTCAGAATATGTCTAAGGGCCTATACGTTAATCGGGAATGTCAGCTATCATCATACCAAATTTCAAATTTGTCGGTTTAGTATTTTTTGCGTTTACTTGTCAGAAAGATCCATCCATCCATCCATAAATACAAAGGCCAAAGGCCTACATACATCCAAACTTTCTTACTTATAAAATTAGTAGGGTAAGTAAACTGTTGTAATATTGCTTGTTTATGGATATATGTTTATCAAACTTGGCTAATTGATTTTTTTTATTATACTAAGCTAATAATATTTTCCAAAAAATCACACTTCGTTACCCTCCCTGTAGCAGCAAACCTAGGTACTCGTTAAACCTAATCTTATTGAATTGGATTTAATTGAAAAAAGTTACACAAATGTAAATTTGCTTAGGCTGCAGGTTTGCTGCGGTGAGGGTATTATGGAATTGTAATTTATTTAGAAAGAAGACTTTGTGGTTATACATGATTAACTTTAATTTATATAAGATACTAAATAAATCAATCCCGTTGGTCACAATAAGTAGCGCCGGTCGTTTGTTAATTGACTGGCGCTACTGCAACCAGCGCTACTAATGTATTTGCTAGCAGCTATACCCGTGCCTTGCAACAGGGTCAGTATGTAATAGAGACAAAGTTGGTTCTTTGAAAATGCCAAACGGTTTCACTCCTACCGTTTAGTTTAGAAACAAAATTCAACTCTATTACTTAACTTTATAATACTACGTTTTTGTTAACTCATACTGTGAATACTTATTTAGGCTACCTACGATACTAAACCAATGATAGATTGTAAGGTATGATAAAAGAATGTGTTAAATGGTTTGCACTGTAAAGGAAAAGCTTTCACAATAGTTCCAAACCTGACAATAGGGAAATTTTCTAACATGTGTTAGTGAAATTATAATCAGGCAAATGGGAATTCGTTCAGTCTATAGGTTTTCTGCGGCAGGGGGATTATATAACTGTTTACAAACAAATAAATCAAAAGAATAATAAACCTCATAAAACTCAGGATAAGGGCCTAGGTTGATGGCATTATAGAATACGAAT